GCGGTGCGTGATTTGGGGCCCCCTGGGGCAGAGCATCTGGGGCCCTGCCGGGTTGGTCCCGCAGCCCCGAGGGGCAGCGCTACGAGACCAACCCGGCAGCACCCCAGCTGCTCTGCTCCCGGTTCCCCGATTCAGCTGCTGGTCAGTTTCAGCAGCAGCTGAATGGGGGAAGCCTGTCCGGCTGCCCCAGCACTTCCGGGTTCCTGATGGTGCTGGACCATCAGGAGTCCCGGAGCATTGGATGCCGGACTAATGGAGTTTTACTGTATTTTGTCCATTAAGAAAGTCATTCGTATCTGTGATTACAAAATGACTTCTTTGCAGTATGTTTTATGTACATCTATTGGTACCATTGTACCTAAAAATAATCAATAAGTCATATTGTTTCCAAACAATGATTTATCAGATTCATTGTCCAAGTAGGTGCTATTTTCAGGGTCACTTCTTAGTGGATTGTCTACCATAATTTTAGGCTAAAGGTAAGCTGATATCTAGTGCAATTTATCTCTATATTGAGACATTTATCATAGTATTTAATTTGTTTTCTGCTCTACCCTTTGATGTTTGTGTATGATCACCATGTCTTACTAAGGGAAGACTGCTGTAAAGGGATGGGACTTAACGTGCTTGCTAAACAAAGGAACACCTCAATTCTTTCTGCCTTTTTGTGGTAGACTTCCGCAGCTGAGCACCTTTCTTATTTCCTTGTTACAGTTACACTTGGAATACACCAAATTGCAATGAGACACCTGCAGCTGGCACATCCCAACTAAGTAGGGTTTAGGGACTGTTTAAATATGGTGTAGATGTTTGGGGGTCAGCAGGAGCCCAAACTATGGGACCCTTCCACCCTGCAGAGTCCAAAAGCCTGGTCTCTAGCCTGAATATCTAGACAATTATTAAACAGCAGAGGGACAAGATGGGTGAAATAATATCTTCTATTAGACAGGGAGACAAAGCTTGCAATGGTGTAGCCATACCAGTCCCCAAATATTAGAACATAAGAACGGCCATTCTGGGTCAGACCAAAGGTCCATCTAGCCCAGTATCCTGTCTTCTGACAGTGGCCAATTCCTGATGCCCTGTTGGGAATGAACAGAACAAGTAATCATTAAGTAATCCAGCCCCTGTCATCAAGTCCCAGCATCTGACAAATTAGGCTAGGGACACCTGGTCCTAGCTTCTCACAAACAGAGGCTAAGTCTAGAGAGACACTTTGGCTAAGGAAGTATCTTTCTCTGAACCAAATTCCATTAAAAGGTATTGCCTCACTGACCTTGTCTCTCTTACATCCTGTAAAGAATACAGATACAAAGATACTGCGTATAACAGAAAGAGGAGCACACCGTGTCTCCACAGCAGAACTTCACAATCATCACATGTCGTCATTGAAATTAGGCCCCACTATAAGAGAGTTTGTTGTGATATAGTGGGAATGTAGAAATTACAATAATGTACAATGCAAAAAGTAATTCAAAAATTATTCCAGCATATTGGTCAGTCTCAGTATCATAAAATATGTTAATAAAAATAAGCATTTCCCGTCCACATCTTTATTATTATTATTAATGTATGAAAACACCTTTGAAGAAAGTAAGTGTCCTTTAGATGAGTATCTGCATTCTAAAAGTAACAATTAGATCATTAAAATAATCTGGAAAAATAGCTTGTAAAATAAAAAGTTAAAACTACTCACCTTCATTTTATTTCATAGGTCACTGCTATACCATCTAATAAGATAATTAAAAACATGCAAGCAGCTGGTACTGCGGCTAAACAGATTAATGTAATAGTCTGTAGTCACATGCGCTGGCAAGGGGTTCACCTCTTTGGCAAGGAGGAGGTCAGCTGCCCTTGGGAAGTGGAGAAAGATAATATTTCTACTTTCCAGTGGCTCTGTATTACAGATAGTGAAGGTAGAGTCCATCTTGATTTGTTGGACAAAGTGAACAATTTGCACACCTAGCAAGGACTTCCATTGTAGAGGTATAATACTACAGCAGTGTGGAGGATCAAATAGATATTTAACAAAACTAAGATGTTCTTCCAAAATAATCAAATGCAGGTTTTATTGAGGATAAGAGTAATCAAATACTAAAAACCGCACAAACAATCCAAATAGTTTAAACTTTATCATTAATGAACTTCAAGCAGTCAATGACAGCTTACAAAGGTGACCTTTTAACCACATCTTACTTTACTAAAGCTTCTTTTTCAAGCATAATTATTTAAAAAATAATCTGAATTAGAAGCTGAAGATCAACTAACAAATTTTCTGCCATCCAACCAGGATTTATCAATAACTACCCAGAATATTTGGAAATATCCCAGTCATACTTGCTTCCTGTTTCCACTGCTTAATGAGCAAGGAGAAAACACCCACTTATCTAAATTTAAGGAGAATTAACTACATCAACTATAACAAATGCAAACAAGATCCACAGTCAGTAAAAAGATGGAGACTGTATAAAGCATTTAAAAATCACAAATAGTATTGCAGAACCATCAGTATAACTGTAGTTAACAATCAGGCATATGAACCTTTAATTGATGATGATGAATATTAACTCCAAGCTAAAACTTATCATACCAGATTTCATATTGCAGCAAGGAAAATCTTTTATTTTTAAATTTTGGTTAAAACAACATAGCCTTTGGATTAGTTATACAACAATGAAAAAGTTAAAACTGCACTTTCAAATGCTCTAAAGCCCCTGTAACTACCAAGGTACTTTTCCTAAATGAAATTCTGAATGCAACTGCTGTTGATACTTAAACAACAATGTTGTGTGCGTGCGAGAGAGAGAGAGAGAGAGAGAGAGTTTTTGTTTGTTTGTTTTTACACATACAAGGAATTTGTTTCTTCCTGGGAAAACTTTCAATTGGATTTAATGCACATCAGCTGACTACACATGACACTTGCACTGACACAAAAGACTACTGCCTGTTAGAGACTTTGTTAATGAGCTACTCGCCAAATATGATGCAGAACAGACAGGAGTTGCTATATTCTATCGAATTAGTAATTTACTCAAATTTTACTCAAAATAACATTCATTTTAAATGTTCACTGATGGAATTACATCCTTGAAGGATAGTTTGACAGCACAGAAACAGATTAGTAAACAAAATGTATGTACAGATAAAACCTTTACCACCGTTATTTTCAAAGTAGAAATGAAAGACTTTCGTACTACTAAATTCTCGAAATACACACTCCATGGACTTGTGAACCTTTTGTTGAAATGCTTAACCAACTTCCTTCCTCTTACAAGGCATGCTTCATAAATCAATCTGTTTTTTCACAGCATTTACGAATTCATCAGAAAAGAAGTATCAAATCAAAAAGCTTATTCCAGTTCCAGTTGCACAATATTCAACTACTCTTTGGCTTTAAGTAGCTGATTATACCTATGCTACTCAAACAAAAATATTTTTAAAAATAGCAAACTAGTACCTACCTGTAAGAAATAAATGTTCCATCAGAGTCTAAGGCATGATGTGTTCTTCCATTCTCAGGAGATCCCCCTAAAACAAAAATGAAAGAAACAGACCTTAGTCCTGACAGAAGTATATACTGATACTGAATGCAGAAATGTGTAAGAGCATATATAAGTGATCTTAAGCTATATAGAAACATTGTTTCAAGGCTAAGAAACAGACAACCTTACCTGGATAGGTCTCATCCTTCCATCTTAAAAAATAACTAATTGTTAGTAGAGAGGACCTCAAGACATCAGCTTCTGTTCTGGATATGAATTCTTCCAAACCTCAGAAATGCTTGTATCTGAGGTTTTAAAAGTTTAACAACTAGAAACAAGCCTAAATGAACAAAATGTTTTTAAAAGATAATGCCTAATAAAGTGGATGAAACCAAAATATGTTTTCGTAATCTGAAGTCAATTTATATACTGTAAAAGTTTTTAACTGAATGGTAAAAAGACGTTTTCTTTCCACTGAAGGCGACTGTTTCCCTCACATTGCCTCAGTAACAAGCCGCTAAGAAAGACAGACTACTAACAATGATGAGAGGGTAGCACTTCATCAATACCCCTGAATCCTAGCTCAATCCAAGAATGAGTTATGATGCTTATTCAAAAAAAAAGTGTATTTATTTAACATGCATAGTTGTGTAGCCAAGAAATGGCATCTTCAGAGCACTTGTCCAAGAGGGATGGGTGATATGGTTCAGTGAAATGAATTCCACACTGGGACTTGGAAGCTTTGGGTTTTACTCCTGGCTCTTCCACCCATCTGCTCTGGGACCTTAGGCAAGTTATTTTATTTACCTTTGCCTCTGTTTTTTCATCTGTAATGAAGGGATACTGATATCTACTAGCATTGTAAGCACTCTCAGATGACAGAATGAAAAGCACAACACAAGAGGTATTACTAACTGATTTCACATAAGCCAATGACAACACACATGAAAACTATTTTTTCAGTCACTCCTGCACTAGAACAAAATAAAACCTGTAGCCTAGGCATAAAAAGGATCTTTGAGTAATGCAATCTCTCATCCCTCAAAATGCTGGCATTTTATTTAAGAGTTAAAATATGTTAGTTATTGAAAAGGAATGGGATCTAATCCTAAACAGCTACTAAAGTACCAGTAACAAATTCTGGAATAAAGAGTTGCTACCCCTTTGATACTTTCCTACCTACTGAAGAAATACCTCTGAACTCTAGCTCTCACATCTTTGGAGAGTACAGGCAGTCCCCGGGTTACATGGATCCGACTTACATCGGATCCCTACTTACAAATGGGGCGAGGCAACCCCGCACTAGCTGCTTCCCCCCAGCAGACCAGGGAGACGCGAAGCTAGCGCCCCCACAGCAGACCAGGGAGACGCGGAGCGGCTTTTCTCAGCAGACACCTCAGCTTGAGAATAATACCCTGAGGGAAGTGAGGTGTGGGAGAATAAAACTGAGCTCTGGAGAAATGTTTGGCTAGAGTTTCCCCTACAATATGTACCAGTTCCGACTTACATACAAATTCAACTTAAGAACAAACCTACAGTCCCTATCTTGTACGTAACCCGGGGACTGCCTGTATAGTTAAGAAGAAAGAAACTGCTCTACATACATATTATAAAATCATAACTATTTTCTTCAACATTGCACTAAGTAGGGAAGGGTTTTGAGGCTGTCAGTTTAAGAATTAGAGATAAAAGTGATTTCACTTAGGAAATCAGATTGTGCATTATCCAACTGCAAAAGCTGCTTACCCATGCCAAAATGAAGTCTGCACTCTGCTTAAAATTTTATTTTTAATTGAAGATGCATTTTTGTTAATATACATCTTTATTTTCATCTGTACAACAATTCCAAGTTTAGTTTATATAGAACACTAGTTTACCACCATTAACAAGGCAGTGTTTTCTGCTTAGAGAAGACAAGGAGTATGTGGTAGACTAGAATCTGCTTACATTATAAGCCTGTAAATTTCTATAGCATGACTTTAAAATACCACATTATATTCAGTGTTAGTATATTTAAAACTTAATTTAATGTTTTATCCAATTTTAATTTGTACTTTCAAACCACTCTGAATAATCTGAGGTGCCACTGGAGATCATAACAGTGGTCCTGGTTAAGTCAAATAATAATTATAGAGCTTTCACTTTAAAGATGAGATTATTTTTAATTATTGAGTGAAGTACTTGAGGTACCATACTTATATAATTATGCTACTCATTAAATGGTTATTGAAAGCTGAAATGTAATTTTAACGACAGCTACCTATTTTTCTTTGTACATTTTATACATGACAGATAAGTCAAGAATATTAACTTACTCAAAATTCCTTGCAGATGTACTTGAGCTTCCAGGTATAGGACAATTAAACTGTGCTTATTTGGAATTAAAAAAAAATCTTAAAGATTATTTTTCTGTATGGAGAAAAAAATTGTTCACAGAGATGAGAGAAAGAAAATAGTGATAAATAAATATTTTTCTTTTTCAGTGTCAGCAAATTCTGGTTCTACAATGTACCTCTCCTTGTACCTATCAAGACACATCCCTGAAAAAACAGGACATCTACAAGGCAAGGTCAACTATTTTATTAGATGTGGGTGCTTTGTTTAACAAAATGAACAGCCAGCAACACCACAAATATGGAAGACTGATTTTAGTCAAAAAGTGCTTGCTGTGTAATGCAAACAAAAATTACTTAATAGATTTTTCTATCTTGAGTATAAAGGGGTAACTGACATACAATAAGCATTATACTCTTCATTAAAATGATATATAATGCCACAAAAGACTCCATTTGCTTCTTTATAACACTAAGGTTCAAAACTCTTCAAACATCAAACCCTATCAGATTCTTTTACTCCTTAGAGATATACCCAATGTCAAATATATACACACAAAACTATTCTAATCATTAAGGGGCCCAGACACTTGACAACACTGACACATCCTCAGTATTTTCATCCTTTCTACATGAGGCTTCAAATTCAGCTTATCCATTTTTCCAAAAGCCATTATCTTGTACAAATTAATCTTCTCTTTTTCACAATGAAAACTAAACAGAAGAATACATTTGTTTCATTAACAATATTAAAGCAAAGATTTCTGAATTCGCTGCACAGGGAGAACGCAATAAAGTTTTGAAGAGGAAAAAACTGCTTTGTTCCTTCAATCCCCTAGTTGAAATTAATTATAGCAAATGTTTATGAAAACATCTGTTCCGTGCAGTTATAAATTCTTAATTTTAGCATGGGCGATTCTAGGCTTTTCTATTATTTTGAAAGAAGAGTTTGAAAACTGAAAGGTTTACAAAAGAATGGGTCATTTAATTTTCTACAGTATCATATATATAGTTTACAATGTCCTGAGGATCTCTGTGGCAAAGAAAAAGAGAAATAAGACAAACTACAAAAAGATTAGTTAAGATAGATACAAATCAGAAAAGTCTTCAACAGGTCTAACTTGACAGCAGAGGCAAAAAAACAAAAACTCAGATGTAAGGAACAATACAAATTAAGACTGCACTCCATAACCTAAATCTATGCAAAGTAAAATGTAATGGGCATACTGATTTTTATTTAATATAGGAGTAAAAGTATACCTGATATGACCTCTTTGTGTCAACAGAGGGTGCTAGAGAGTTTAAGATGATTCCGTAGTGGCTCCCCTTCTAAAGCTCAACTGCTTGTACAATAAGTTCCTAAGTAAAGCTCCAAACACTCTCGGACCTTTTACATAACAGTCTTGTAACTACAGTGTTAAATTTAATTTACACCAAATAAGCTTTTTAAATGATTAAATGGAGGAAGCTTGAAGCAGTGTACAGAAACTGAAAATAATGCCTTCAGCTAAAGAATTAAGTGCATTGCACTTTTGATATTTATAAAATAATTATTAGGCTAGAAAGTTGAAGTACATTTCACTTTGAGAAAGTTTTGAAGTTGTCAAACAGAAATTATGCAACTTTTTTTTGTGAGCACATTAGAATAATATTTAAGTTCAAACAGTTTCCCCCTTGTTTCTGAAGTAATTTAGGATCACTGACAGATGCGTATTTTGCTTGCAAAGCACTGCTCGGTAATAATCATTTGGTCGCATTTTAAATATTAATATTGTGCCAAAACAAGCTTTATATTTTGCCATACATGAAAAAAAGCTAATATTCTGGTAATGAGATAGATGCATGCAGACAACTGAAAATCGTGCATGATGCTCATCAGCGGTCAAGAACTCTTGTACTAAAGGCAATGTGTAATGTGTTAATCTTGCACTCCAACAAACCTGAGAAAAATTACCCTGAAATTTTTTGAAAATTCCTAGAGAGACAGAGCCTTGTATCTATTTGAGTTTCCAGCAAAGAGGACACTAGAGCAAGATATTCTACAGTACCCACGCATAGACTAGTTTTGCAACAGTGGAGGATGGTGACATATGAAAGTGGGTAGGCAAAACTGACACATAAAGACATGCTCAGAGCCAATTTACAGCAAAGGGTAAAGATCATACTATATCTGACTTCTCCCTAGTGGAAGCCTCCGCTGTTTTGCAGTTATAAAAGAAAACATTTTAAAAGGGCAAAAATAACCAGGATTGCAAAAAACCCAAATCTAATCCTGATCTGTGCTTGGATTTAAATAAACTGGCATTTTACAATGATCTGTACGTACAAAATCATGGCAAAATGAAAGTGCATAACAGAATATATGTACTCTTTACAGGAAGAAAAATTGGTTTAAAATAAGTTTAACAATTAATTACATGTATAACCTTGTGTGTGCAAAACATAGTACCTCCAAGTGTATTTGTGAAGGCAAAAGCATGGCTAGGAAATGTATACAAAATAAAACCAGGCTGTATAAAATCTAAAATTTAGGAGAAATTTTAGGGAAATTTGACCATTTGTGACCCTGAGTTCATAATTATTCTACTTAAAGAATTTCAATAGCACTACATTATTAAAAAGATTTATCCTATTTTTGACTTTGTAACACAGGGGTGGCTGGATCTGGCCTGCCTAGGGTTTTGATCCAGCCCACAAGACAGTTCCAGGCCTCTAGTGCAGGGGTCAGTAACATACAGCACACATGCAGATTTTCAGCCCAGAAGAGGGAACTCATCCCCCTTTCTCCTCCTCCAGGCAGTAGCTGGAGAGTGCTCTCTCCTCCCTGCAGCAGGTTAGGCTGTGGTGGGAGGAGGCAGCGCTAGGACTGAGGCTGGCCCCAGACTGCATGGCCTCCGTGCTGCCTCCTCCGACCGCAGCCTAACCTGCTGCAGGGAGGAGGGAGCATGCTCCAGCAACTGTGTGGGGGAGGGGTGGAGCTGTGCTTCCTCCTCCATGCTGCTGAAAATTGGCAGGTGTACCATGAGTGCCGTAGATTGCCGACCCCTGCACTAGGGGGTGGGGCCTGGAACTGCCTCGTGGGCTGGATCTGGCCCGGTGAGAGGTTTTTGCCTACTCTTGTTTTAGATGCAAGGCATCACAGTAATATTCACATGTGCCATTTAAAAATATAGCTCAATGGTTAAAAAGTGTCCCAGTCTGAAAAGTGTATGAGGCAAAAAAACTTTGGGGTGGAAATATCAACTGAATTTGCCATGCATTTGTGCATATTTACTGGCTGTGCAGTCAGAATAAAGGATCATTTTGCCAAATTTGTATATTTGTTATCTCATAGAGTCCCTCAATCAGTCCACCAATCACTGAGTTATCCATGCTCACGTGTATTATTAAAAACTTAAAACAACAACAAATAGACTAGTAGAACCTTAAAGACTAATAAAACATGTAGATGGTATCATGAACTTTTGTGGGCACAACCCACTTCTTCAGATGACAGGAATATTAGAAGTCCAGATCCAAGAATAAAT